GACATGCTTCAGTTTTAGGTAATATTCTAACACGTAATTGCAAAATCAATTCTTTTTCATTAATAACTCATTTTTTACGTGCATGTTGCCTGTGCTAATTTAAGCTATCAATGTAGTTGTTTGCAGCACTGAGCCATGTTAACAGCCCCTTTTAATAATAAAGGACATTTGATTATGCTCAGTGTTGCCGAACTGTCTTCCTTCTTTTGCTTACCCGTCTTCAGTGTGGCCAAACACTCCTGACTGACAGGCATGGGGTGTGGCCTCGATAGGACATCTGCCAGCGCCTCCACGATGCATTTCATCACCTGTGGATGCACACAATCCAGAATCAGAGGAGAGACAGTCCCCAAATGATCCCAAAAAAAAAGTGAGAATTACAGTAAAACAAGCTGCTGTTGCAAGCAAGATGAATTAAACTGAATCAAAAGCAGCATATGAGTCTGAGACTCTTTGAATGCAGCTTGTGTGCTAACTTAGCCACTAATTGAAAGATATAAATCTCTTTAGATGAGGGATCAAAATTATTTCAACTCCCATTGCGCCAATACTACATCCATACATAATTTTTCCACAATCTTTTTCTTCTTCTTCTACTTTTTTTTTTTTAAAGGTGCCCAGCTTCTTCACAAAAGACCTTTGAAGTGATCAAATTCCACATTTCCCACATTTCCCTTTAGCAGTCTTGTCTCTCCAAACCTTATTCTGGAAAGCTCTCTCTCCCTCCCTCCCTCCCTCTCTGTCAGTGGATTTAGCATCCTCAAAATCATGGAGGTCAAGGCTCTCCATTGCTCTCAAATTGCTTTCTATTGATTTTTACAAAGGCAAATGTGGGTTTGCCTCACAATGAAGGTGCTTAAAGCTTTAAATTATTGGGATTAAACATTTCTAATCACTGCGTGCCTTAAGAGTGCAGCTGGAGAGCAGCTAGAAGGCAATGCAGTGGATTTGTATTATTTGTCATACTGACAAGAAGAATATCCCTGAAGTATCGATTTAAGAAGGTTAACACTAACCTGCACTAGTTTCTTTTTTTGCTTTTTGCTTTTCTGTTGCTCCAATAAAACTAATATTGGAATAGAAAATGTTACCAAAAACAATAAGAAAATATTTACCTTTACGTCCTCATTCTCCAGCTGACTCGAAGTCACTGGCAATGAAAGGACTGCAAGAGAACAAGAACACAGAGAGAAAAGAAAATCATGCATGTTTATTTGTTCACATGCTTTTCATAATCCCTACAGCTCCTTTGTGTGCGCGTGTGTGTGCGTGTGCGCTTTTCTTTCCTCACTCGCTGTGTTACTACAAGCCTCTGGTTGTTTTAGTAACGAGAATAATTGTGCCAAAGGCGCAGGTGAATTCATTGCAATTAAAGATGCGCTTGTCGCTGTCCTCGGTGCGGAACCCCGGCAGTCACAATACTTAATGCAGATTTCCTTCAACCAACCGTCTGTGTCTTCATATCGCTCAACTTCATCAAGGTTTAGCTGTCTGTTCTTTTTCTTACCGCAGCTAGACAGGATTGTCAAAAGGAACAGTCCTCTCCCGATCATGTTTGGAAACGAGGCGAAGTAGCTCTCCAGGAATAATAAAAAATAGCGAAGCTTTTATCAGAAGGTTAGGTTTCTTCCCTGTAAATCAAAGTCGGTGAATTAGGGACGCATTCTGAACAAAACTTAGCCGCCTTTCGGTATTTCTGGAGAGCTAGATTTTCTGCAGCATCGGTGACCCGACAGCCTCCGTCCTCTCCGGTCTCTCCACCAAGACCTCGCCGCAACAGCACCCTTTTTATAGCGTGAGCTGGAGAGAGGAAATGACATCATCCTGGGACAAATAATTGCTGTTGTACCTGATCGTACCTCGCTGGTTGTCAGGGCGTGTGCCAGTTCAGAGTGCCTCAGGTAT